ATCCCACATTCCCACAGGGGGAATCCCACAGCCCCACAGGGGGGGATCCCACAGCCCCACAGGGGCATCTGACATTCCCACAGCTCCTCGGGCCTCTGCAGGGGGAGATCCCACATCCCCACAGCTCCTCGGGCCTCTACAGGGGGGATCCCACATTCCCACAGGGGGAATTCCACATTCCCACAGCTCCTCGGGCCTCTGCAGGGGGGGATCCCACATCCCCACAGGGAGAGATCCCACATCCCCACAGCTCCTCAGGCCTCTACAGGGGGTGATCCCACATCCCCACAGGGGGGATCCCACATTCCCACAGGAGGGGATCCCACATTCCCACAGCTCCTCGGGCCTCTGCAGGCGTCGTGCTGCCCCAGGGTGAATGGAAAATCACCTGCTTTCCATAAGCACCTTTAGGAGACCATCTGAGTCTTGGAATGATTTGGATTTAGGAGACTGTCTGAGTCTTGGGATGATTTTTATGGGCAGAAATCGTGGTCTGCTCCTGCAGATCCTGTGGGGTAAAGACATTTAGGGGGTATTTTTTGCTGCGTGAAAGGCTTTAGGCTTTGCCTTTTGCAGGTGTGGCCGCAGTGGTTACACCAGTGACTGCCCCTGCTTGGCCCTCTGTGTCTGGGTTGGATGTTTCTAATGGAATTAGGGGAATTCCCAGTCAGCCACCACTGGCAGCTCCAGTTAAATCCCCACCCCCAGTCCCGGAGCTGCTGCCACGTGTCCTGCACAACTGGGGATCCAGAACCCCAAACTGAGCCATTCCAGCCCTGTTTGGGGGTGTCAGACCTGCCTGTCCCTGCTCCCAGCACGGAGTCCCCTCCCTGCTGCGTGTTCTGGGGGCAGGACTGGGGCTCTGACCATCACACGGGTCAGGACGGGCGGTGTCCGTGTTGTGGGTGTGCTGGGAGCGCTCCCAGCCCTCGGGAGGGTGGGTGCTGGAGCCAGGCTCCGTGGGGGGGGTGGGTGTGCCTGGGGAGCTGTGGGTCAGCCCCCAGTGGGGCCGTGGGTCAGCCCCCAGCGGGGCCGGGGTGGTGGCACTGAGGGGGTGTCTGTGCTCGCCCTGCCCAGGCCGGGACGGTGATCTGGATCGGGATCCTGGTGTACACCGACCCCGCCGGCCTCCGCACCTACCTGACGTCCCAGGTGACGGAGCAGAGCCCCCTGGGAGAGGCGGGGCTGCCCCCCATGCCCGTTCCCGGGGGGGTCCTGCCCGCCGGGGACCCCAAGCTGGACCTGTCGGTGTTCCCGTCGGAGCCCATCCAGCTGCCGGAGAACCAGACGCAGCCGCGGGAGCAGCAGCTGGAGCCCGACCAGCCCCCCTGGGCCCCGGGAGCTGAGGGCAGAGGGAACGGGCAGGGCGAGCTGGGCACGGAGGCGGAGGTGACCTGGGGAGCGGAGGACGAGGAGATCTGGAGGAAGCTTTCCTTCAGGCACTGGCCAGCCCTCTTCAGCTACTACAACATCACCCTGGCCAAGAGGCAAGTGGGCTGGAATGCCACGGGCACTGGGCTGGAATGCCACGGGCGCTGGGACTGGGGGATTGACCCCAAGGGTTGGTCTTTCTTCTGTCCTTGGTCCTCCCGGGTCACAAAACCTGGTTCCATGAGCTCACTGCAGGGGTGTTCGGGAGGAGCAGGTCCTGCAGCGGCAGAGCTCCCAAACTCTCCAGGGCTGTTCCTCTGGGAATCAGGGTTGTTCCTTTCTGTGTTTGTGGATGCTTTACGTGCTTGGTGTCTTCCTGGACCCTGGAGGTGAAGTTCAGAATTCTGTAAAACAATAAGAGGAGGCTCAGGGGAAGCTTCTCACTCCTGACAGGAGGGTGGAGCTGGGGGGGGTCGGGCTCTGCTCCCAGGGAACAAGGGACAGGAGGAGAGGAAATGGCCTCAGGCTGTTCCAGGGGAGGGTCAGGTTGGAAACCAGGAAGAATTTCTTCATGGAAAGTGTGGTCAGGCATTGGAAGGGGCTGCCCAGGGCAGGGGTGGAGTCCCCATCCCTGGAGGGATTTCAAAGCCCTGTGGATGTGGCACTTGGGGACGTGGGTCAGTGGTGGCCTTGGCAGTGCTGGGGAATGGTTGGACTCGATGGTCTGAGAGGCTTTTCCAGCTTCAGTGATCCTGTGATTCCATAACCTGATCACCTGTAAGTGGTGGGGATGGTACATGTGAGGAAGAGACATCTGAGCTGAAGAACCTTCTTGGGGAGATCTCCTGGTCTGCAGTGCACAGGAATCTGCACCAGATCGTTGTATCCTTGCTTAAATCCATGGGATCCATTTGATCTCATCAGGAGTTCATCCCACTGTTGGCTCTTTGAAGGGTTAAGACCTGGGAAATACCTTTAGAGAAGAATATTTCCAAGGGGATCTTTAGTTTAGAACACCTGGAGTTCCTGACCGAAAGCACCCGAACCTTGCCCCGGCTGCCTGCTCACCTGGAGGGATTCCTGTGTCCCTGCTGTCTGTTCCTGAGCTGTTCTCCCCTCTCCCCCCCTTCAGGTACATCAGCATCCTGCCAGCCATCCCCGTCACGCTGTACCTGAACCCCCAGGAGGCCCTGGAGGTGCGACATCCCCAGGAGGCCTCACGCTACCAGCCCTTCCTGGCCTCCAGCAGAGGGGATCCGGACACTGCAGCTCAGCCCGACCACACTGCCAAGCTCCAGGGCCACCAGGATGTCACCCTCTACAAGTAAAATGTCCTTGTCACAGCCTTCTGACCCTGCTCAGCCCCGGGGCTGCCTTGGGCTGGGAGACCAACACATACCTGTAGAGCTGCAGTGCCAGAGCCGGGACTGGCCGGGACACTCTGGGCACAGCTGAACTCATCTCTCCTGGCAGGGTCCCACCAGCTGAGGGCAGGCTCTGCATCCAGCCTCTTTATCACTGGGTGGCAGGGACGGGAGACTGATTTTGGGTATAAATGCCATGATTTCAGAGAATCCCAGAATGGTTTGGTTTGGTTTGGAAGGGACCTTAAAGCCCATCTCATTCCAACCCCCTGTCCGGGGCACGGACACCGTCCACTAGCCCAGGTTGCTCCAAGCCCTGTCTAACCTGGCCTTGGACACTTCCAGGGATGGGGCAGCCACCACCTGGATATCATTTGATAATGATTTATTGGGTGTCGGATCAAACTCTGGTGCAAGGAACTTCCTTCCCTGCCTGAATCTGCAGGTGTTGAGCACACTTTGGATTATCCCAGTCCCCATCCAGTGGGGACTTAGTCTTAGTTGCTCTCTACTTTCCTTACTGAAAAGCCTCAAATCTTGTTGCAATTCTCATTTTCCCATTAAAAACCCCTTTAATTTCCAACAAATCTCTGTAATTTGCTTAAAATCTTTCTCAGCCGGGACATTTAGAGCAGCACACGCGTAATCCCGGCACAGGATTTTTCAAATCTAGAAATCAGATCTCTCATCTCTTTCCTCTCACCTTGTCCTTGTGTCTGTGTGTCCCCCAGGGTGGCTGCTCTGGGTCTGGCCTCGGGCATCATCCTGGTGCTGCTGCTCTTCTGCCTGTACCGGGTGTTCTGCCCCAAGAACTACGGGCAGAACGGGCACGGCCGCAGGAAGAGGGGGGACCTGCCCTGCGACGACTACGGATACTCCCCCCCCGAGACCGAGATCGTGCCCCTGGTCCTCAGGGGCCACCTCATGGTACGTCACATGTAGGGAGAAATACACCTGTGAAAGGATATTGTGGCACGAAATTTGCTGCAGCACTTTCCCACCTCCTCCTGGGGCTCGCTCTGAGCTCTCTGCAGTTCCCGTTATTGCCTCGTCCGGCCTGGCCTTGGACACTTCCAGGGATATCCATGTTCTCAGTGTCCCTCGGTTCCTAAACCGGCCGGTTTTGACATAAAATCTGTCACCTCTGTATTCCTCAGCCACACAAGGCTGTGGTCGGGCTCCAGGGCCACACTCAGCCGTGCCTGTCCTTCCTTCCTCGGCAGGACATCGAGTGCCTGGCCAGTGACGGGATGCTGCTGGTCAGCTGCTGCCTGGTGGGGCAGATCCGCGTGTGGGACGCGCAGACGGGCGACTGCCTCACTGTCATCCCCAAACCCAGGTACCATCCCCAAACTCAGGTACCATCCCCAAACCCAGGTACTGCCTCACCATCATCCCCAAACCCAGGTACCTTCCCCAAACCCAGGTACTGCCCCACCATCATCCCCAAACCCAGGTATGGGCACGGAGCCCCCGCCGCTCCTTCAGCCCTCTGGATCCTTGGGTTCCATCTGCTGAGGGATCACCTCTGCTGGATCCTGAGATCCCTCCAGTCTGAGGGATCACCTCTGCTGGATCCTTGGGTTCCATCTGCTGAGGGATCCCACTGCTGAGGGATGAGCTCCGGGAGCAGCCCTGCAGCAGAGCATGACTGAGCTTTATCCCTCGTTCCAGGTTGCGGAGGGACAGCAGCGGCATCTTCGACTACCAGGAGGGCTGGGATCAGAGCCCGGACAGGAAGAACGGGCTGGAGGACTCCTTTGAGAGCAGCCACCAGCTCAAGAGGCTGCTGGGGGGGCCCCCCCAGCCCCCCCTGTTCTGCGACCAGCCCGACCTCACGTCCCTCATCGACACCAACTTCTCGGAGCAGGTGAAGGCGGCCGAGTCGGAGCCGCGGCTCCGGGCCGTGGGCGGCCGCCACAAGGACACGGGCTACGACTTCAGCAGCCTGGTGGGGAAGGTGTACGAGGAGCACGGCGGCTCCGGCTGCAGGAGCGTGACCTTCCCGGGGCTGCCGGCCCCGCACGGCCCCGCCGGGCTCTGCGGGAGCGGCGGCCGCGCCCCGGGATGCGGCTCCGACGAGGGCGGGGGCGGCCGCCGGCGCAGCCTCGGGGACCGGAGCCTGGGGGACGAGTCCTGCGCGGGCTGTGAGACATCCTCACCCCTGCCGGCCTGGGGAGGGGACCTGGAGAGCTCCGTCTGGAGCCTCGACCTGCAGGGGCACCTGATCGTGGCCGGCCGGAGCAACGGGAAACTGGAGGTGAGGAGCAGGGCTGGGGTGATGGGAACGGG